TAGCTGTCAAAAGTTGTCAGCAACGAATGAACAAATTCAGTACATATATCAAGATGGCCAAGTTGAGGAGGGTACCCTAAAGTCCTCAGCCACCATGTTGAAAGTGAAAGAAAACATTTCAACCATGGTACTGTTACGCTTATTATTCTTACCCTGTAAGAAGTTATGGGGTTTATTCTGGAAGGTCACTGGGGGCTTATTTGTGTTTTGTAGCATTAGCATTATTTGCAAATAATGCAGTTGAGCACACTATGTAAGCACTCCAACAGTCACAACCCACTACTTTTGCATCATATCTCTAGGGAGACAACCAGCACCCCAAGATGCTTACAGAGTCCAAACTAAGCTCTTTGTCTCACCTTTTTCAGTCTGACAAGTCACTTCCAGACAACCTGTTTATTGAGCATTCAAATGCTTTGTTTGCATGAAGTTAGTGGGGCTATTTACTGAACATTCATTCCTAGTTGACTGTGGCATTGTTACCCCAGACTTTCCAGTTTATTATCCTCTCCTTACTGTGAAAAATTCAGACTTTTTTTTTTAAAGTGGGCTCATTACACAACAGCACCTAATCCACTTTCATTGTGCAACCTGAATTTGTTGGGAAGCAGTTGTATCCCACTTGCAAAATGAAAATAGTGACAGTGCTTGCAAACTGAAGTCATCTCTCCACACAGACACTTGGATTACATCATCCTTAGCTAGGGTGCAGGGAGAGGTATTTTCTTTTGCCAAAAGAACCCTCCAACTATTTCCTAGTCATTATGGGCCAGATATTCAGAGCAATCAGCCAATTACCCTAACAAAAGGAAGACACTTAGCTACTATGCTTGGATAGTTAAGGTAGTCCCCAGGTCTTCTGTCCAACCCAGAGAGTTGCCTGTACAAGATAAACCCTTCTAGCTCATATGCCCAAATAAACAGGCTATAAGACCTGAGAGATACAGGGTTCCCAGTCAGGAAGCTGACCTTGGCCCAATTTCTTTTAGCCTAGACTACCTCAGGGGGGGGGCGTGCAGAAGAGAAAGACCATATGTGCAGCCCTGAGGTCTTTGGAGGAAAGGCGCAATCAAAATGTAATAAACATATAAGATTTCCCATGATCTATAGGTGTTGTTCTGGACTAGAGGCCACATCTTGATAAAATAATTTAACAAATTTTAATGTGGGTTGTTAAACCTGAGATTAGACTAACTTTAATGCTCTTTATGGAATATTACCACTCCCCTCCTTTCTCCTCATATTCTTTCTCTCTTTTCCTTTCTTGCTTTTATCTTTGCTCTTCCTTTTTATTGTTGTTGTTATTATTGCTTTTTGTGCATTAGAAAATGGAAATAAAAACAATTACAAAAAATACCCCAGATTAGACTGAGGAAGAGGTAGGAGCAGTTGCACCATTCTGAAGAGTTTGCATAAGGACCACAGCATCCACTTCTGGGAGCGCCTTTGCCAATCTAAGAGATAATGGCCACTTCCTCTCAAGAAAAGAGAAGTGAATTGTGGTATATGGCTTCTCTGTTCACAATCCTCCTTGGTAGGAAATGAATACTAATTTGAACATGCATGGACAATAAAAAGGTATGATAACTTCTCATAAATCATTATCACATTTCCCCCTTGAATTAGCACCATGTAACAATTGTCCTTCACTACAATAGACTCCTGAAAGTGTGAAAAAGTTAAATTAGATGTGTGGATCAGTATCTTTTGGTGGGGAGAGGGGCCATTCCCCTTTCCACCAACACAAAACTCCCCCCGCCATGCGGCAGCTTTTCTTCTCATGGAAAAAAAGATGTAAGAACCATGCATCTTTTCCCCAAATGGGTGTGGGTGGAGGCAATTTTGAGCAGAAAATTGCAGGAAGCTAGAGCTGCCCCTCCCACAAGCCGCTTCCCTCCATATGTAGGAAGAAAAAGACAGTATCCCCATATTTCCAAAGGGTGGGGGGGGGGAAGCAGGCCAGGGGAGGGATCAATTCCAAGTGGCAGGAGAAGAAAGAATTAAGCCCTCTCCACTTGGGGGGGGGCATGCTTTGCCTCTCAGTTGCATCCAAGGCTGTTTTCTTATAATTTTCAAAAGATGGTCAGAAGACTGTTCTAGTCAGCCCGGATGCTGAGGTCCAGCGCCGAGGGCCTTCTGGCGGTTCCCTCATTGAGAGAAGCAAAGCTACAGGGAACCAGGCAGAGGGCCTTCTCGGTAGTGGCGCCCGCCCTGTGGAACGCCCTTCCAGCAGATGTCAAAGCGATAAACAACTACCTGACATTCAGAAGACATCTTAAGGCAGCCCTGTTCAGGGAAGTTTTTAACGTGTGATATTTTACTGTATTTGTGGTTTTTATGGAAGCCGCCCAGAGTGGCTGGGGAGGCCCAGCCAGATGGGCGGGGTATAAATAATAAATTATTATTATTATTATTATTATTATATTATTATTAGTTTGGTTCAAAACAAGTTTCTTCAAGTTATCTCTCCGAGTTTTCCCTTCCAAAGGTAACCTCTGAAACGGGCTCCCCATTTAACTGTCACTGTTTCAGTTTCTTAAATAAGGTTCTCAATTATACATTAAAGAACGATCAGAGGCAAAGTCCACCTTTAGGCTCTATTTGGCAGCTCCTACCTGATCTCTCTTGCTTGCAACATCCCAACACCAGCAGAGACAGAGGCTCAGCCTTGGTATCAAAGTTACTCCCTGAGCTTCCAGGCCTGGGAGGGCAAGTGGCAGGGAGCAGAAAGCTTTCATCTGAAAATTACACCCTGCTAACCTCCTCGGGAGAATGTTCAGGCTGTGAAACCCACACTGCAAATTACACAAATAATGCAACAAGCTGAGAAGCGGGCAGGCGGCAGGCAAATCACAGCCAACTGGCAACCAGACAGCGCACTGGGGAACTGGAAATTTAATCAAGCATTTGCAGAGAATGGCTACTCAGCCATGAAATGGAAAACGAAGATTACCTGGTATTACCAACGTGGCTACTGCCCACAGCAGAGCAACCAGAAGAAACAATGCAAGGGGGAAAAATAGATCCAAGTTCCAGCAATTTGCAAGTTCTTTAAGCCTGTGCATCTTGCTTCTCCCAGAACTGCATGGAAACAAACTCACTTGCCATCCTCAGCCACAACCCCAGATCATCAAATCCTGTTACTTCTTTTGCAACCACTGCTCCCAAGCTTTCTCTGAACATTTTGCCACTAAGTCTCCTGCCACCTTCTTCCACTTCTCAGCATAGTTGGAAGAGGAAATGCATGAATGTACCGTACACTATATGCTCTACAACAGCATCAATCTGAATTGGAGGGTTTTCAACGCAATCCTAACAGTGGTCTAAAGGTAAAGGTACGGGCCAGTCTTGACAGACTCTAGGGTTGTGCGCCCATCTCACTCAAGAGGCCGGGGGCCAGCACTGTCCAGAGACACTTCCAGGTCACATGGCCAGAGTGACAAAGCTGCATCTGGCGAGCCAGCGCAGCACACGGAACGCCGTTTACCTTCCCGCTAGTAAGCGGCCCCTATTTATCTACTTGCACCCGGGGGTGCTTTCGAACTGCTAGGTTGGCAGGCGCTGGGACCGAACAACGGGAGCGCACCCCGCCACGAGGATTCGAACCGCCGACCTTTCGATCGGCAAGCCCTAGGCGCTGAGGCTTTTACCCACAGCGCCACCCGCGTCCCACAGCGCCACCCACGTCCCAACAGTGGTCTGCTCAGAAGTAAATCCTATTGAATTCAGTAGGGCTTACAACCCCCAAGTAAAGGGATTAGGATTGCAGCCATCCCTAGGGCTTAGCCCAGCAACACATGATGCAAACAAAAACATGCAGCACCTGATCATAGGCAGAGTGCTGTTCACAGTGGTTGAGCAGTAACATACATGTATAGATATAAACACACACTGAGATTGTCTCTCCTTATGGAATCAAGAACTGCCTCCATTGAACTTCAGAGGCAAAAAGTTTTTCTAACTCACAGGTGGTAGAGGGGCAGGGAAGCAATGGCTGCCACTGCAGCTACAGGATGCATCCTACTCAGCACTCAAATGAGTGTCCAAAATCCTGATCTGGAAACTGTACCATGCTCTCCTCCCACTACCACCACATGCTCGGAAAGATTCCAGGAAAGGGAATACTTGGAGTAGGAGGAAGAGAGAGGTTCCCATATTATAGTACTGTATTCCACTAACACTAAGCAAAATAAAAATAAGCCATTAAAGAAATTAAACAAGGTTGTGAGTGTCCGGGACATCCATTCTAGGAAATTCAAGATTAAGAGCTCGCTGAACCACTGTCATTCCCAAGTTAGGAAGTGACTGGCTCAAGCTGCCTATAACATTCTTACTCGTCAAGGGGGTCTGATGAAAAGAAGAGGGTTCAGAGCGGGAAGAGTCTGGGGTGGACTTTGGGAATATTAGCCTCAGGCCTCTTATAGTCTCACAAAGGGGAACATCTTACAGACACTATGCAGAGCTTCTCATCCTCCAAAATGTGGCAAACCAGTACTTCTGCCTTTTGGGGGCCCTCCTGCTGATTCTGCTGAACAGTGGCCCCAAAGTCCCATGCTGATGGCACCTTGGGCCCTGGAAAGATTCCCCCGTTTGTTTTCCTCCCACGGGGAGCCCAGAAAGTGAGTTGGGAGACAGATCTCAAAGCATACACGGCAGGCACACCATCCCGAAGTATCTCCGAGTCTAGAGGAAGAAGAGTGAGAGGTAGAGAGAGCTCCAGCCTTTCTCCATGTAGGGACGACTTATCAAGAAAAGGGGGGAAGATTCAGGGGTGGAGGAGCTTATATTTTCCCCAGCAAAGGACGACGGAGCGTCCCCAACCCCACACCCTCTCAAACCATGTAGGAAAAGAGGAAGCAGCAAGGACCCCGTCTCGCCCACTTTCCCTCAGGGTGCCCCGTGCGCCCAAGACTGTCTCAAAAAGCCAACCTTTAGCAGAAAGGGAGGGGGAGATAAGCCGTTCGCCGCCAGCGCGCCCTCCCCCAGCGCCTCGCACTTACATGGCTGCTAGTTGAGTCCCCGTCGTCGGTCATCCGCCCCGTCCGTATCCGGACGCCGCTCCGCAGCTTGCCTGGCCAGCCACCCACCCGAGGCGCACGGCAACAAGACGGGGAGGAGCCGGCGCGGGCCGAAGCGTCGGGCCGAGCGCGGGGAGGCGGGGCGCAGCGTCTCCCACCGGGAAAGCGGGAGGAACAAGAGGAGGAGGAGAAAGAGAGAGAACTTCGCTTGGAGGGCGGCGTTTCCCTCGCTATAACGCCGAGCGGGGAACTCGGCGGCGCCGGAGCCACCCGACCCGCACTTCCCCTTACAGTCATCAATCATCCTTCCAGACGTTACGCCCGTAGGGGGCGGGGATGTGCCTGTTGGGGTTAACGCTTCCAAAAGTTGTGGCGAGCGTTTTTAGCGGGGGGGGGGCAGCGGAAGTGAACATTTTCCTCCCCCCACCCACCCCCGTGTAAGCATACCGTCTGCACAAGGGTTATCATATAAGTGCTTTCACGGCAGTACTTGCCATTAGAATATGAAAAGCTCATTTCTTCTCCTTTGCTAGAATTCTGTCCTCTTCCTGCTCGCGTCAACAACATTCACACGTGCACACAGACTTACGCTTTTAGAGCTAACGCGTCAAAGCATCCATTTGTTTTGCTATCCTAAGAAAAAGAGCTGATGGAGCCACCGCGGTGACGTCTCCTCCTTCTGTTGAGACCCCTTTCCATTAGACAGCACGAATGCCTCCTCCTTGCAGGTGTCATGTTTTAATTGTAAGTTCACCGGTTGATCTGCTTTGTATTGTTTTTCTTCCGCATATTGTTGACTGCGAGTAGCTTTGAGGGCCACTGCAGAAATGCTGCCATAAAAGCTTCGGCTCAAGAGCGTTAGAAGGGACCAGTGAGGCCACATACTCCATCCCTGCTCAGTGCAGGAGCTGCAATGCAAGATGCAACTACAACACCGTTGACAGTAGGCCACCCAGCCTCTGCTTAAATGCCACCAGTGTAGCAGAACCCACCGCTTCTTGAAGCAGTCCCTTGTACTGCCAGGCAGCTCATACTCTTAAGTTTCTCCCTAATGTTTAGCTGAAATATGCTTCCCTGCAATTTCTACCCATTAGTTTTAGCCCCGATTTCTGGACTGACATTCTCAAGCTTTTCCAATATATTTGAGAACCAATATGTTATTACAGTATGTAATTATTGATGGACAATATATTTTTAAGCATAGCAATCATACGAATACTCAAGCCCAGGGGTCGGCAACCTAAGGCCCACAGGCCACAAGCAGCCTACGGAGGTCATTTAACCAGCCCACGAGCCGCCCCCGAACTGAGCCGCCCGCTTGGCGAGTCCCTGCGTGCTGCACTAAAACCACTCGCTTCCGCAGTGCTGAAAATAGTGTCTGCACATGCGCAGACGCTGAAAATCATGGGCGTGCGCACGCAATCTGGCCCATGGAGTGATCTCCGCTGGAGTGAACCGGCCCAGACGAGGTAAACCTTGCTGCCCCCTGCTCAAGCCACTTCATATGGAAAAACCCGCAACATGCAATAGGTCAAAAACGTTGACAACCGAGGCCAGGACAGAGATTTGGCCCTTACTCTAACTCTCTTCATTTAATTCAGGCACAGGAGACCCCCTTACAGCTGGCAAAAAAATTAATGTTCACATCCGGAATGTAATTGCCTTGCAATCCCTGTACCCTCCAAGCCTGGAAAGTTGTGGCACCTTTGAGGGCCAGAGCTTTACACAGGCTCCTTCTTGTCATGGGTTTTCCCCTATGAGGATAAATACACACCTCTCTCTCATCCTTGCTACATGTTTCTATTTACAGAACAAGTCTCCAAGGGCTTGGCTTTGTTGTTCTTGCAGCTCTTTGCTGCTGCAGTTTCCATGCTTTCCACCCGCCTCCAACCAGCAGGTCTCCCACACATTGAGGAGGGGAGGAGGAGCTGCTCCCATTGGACAACAGCCCAGTAGGAGCTTGGCTTGATTAGCTGGTTATGGTGTCAGTATTTCATTTTGATTGACGGCAGATGTCCAACATTTGAGCCAAGCTGCAAAGCACGTTGCTACAGCGCTGGAGCACAAAGAGAGACATTGTGAGCATCTTGAGTTGATCATTCCTATGAAACTCATGCCCTGGCTATATAGATCAAGAATATGGTCTTTCTTTGGGGTGGGCTGAGAACCCAAGAAAGGCCACCTCAGTCTACACCCACATGTGCTTTCCCATATTAACTCATTGCAAGTCACAGCAAACAAAGAAGATGACCCCTCAAAGGGCAGCTGAGAGCGGTGGAAAGGGGGATAAACAATAAAACTGCCAATATCAAAATGCCATTATACAAATCTATGGTGGGACCGTGCTTTGAATGCCTCCACAGTCGGAGGCAGTATGCTTCTGAATACCAGTTGCCAGGAATCACATGTGCAGAGGAACACAGGTATTAATTGTGGACTTCCAATAGGCACTGCAAAAACAAGATGCTGGATTTCCCAGGCCTTTGGCCTAATCCAGCAGGGCCATGACAATTTTTGTCCCAGGCTTTTCAGACTTGTCTACCCATGTACTATCTGAAACAAACAAGGCGCATTGGTTGACAGATGTGATTTTTTTGCTCCACTATTAAATTCAGAAGTACAGTTCCTAATACACTTATCTAATTCTTTTTTTTAAAAAAAAGTCATCTAAATGCTGGCAATCATCACGTTTTGCGGTAGTAAATAAGCAAGCATGCAAGTACAGTAGGTTGAAAGGAATGGCTGCTAATCATGACACCCGTACATTTCTACAGTATCAGACACAGTACGACTCTTGGCACCAGTCACTGTGATCCAGCAGAAGAGGGCACTTCTACTCACATTCTTGTGTTTGGGAACTGATTGCTGGACTTTAGTCTGATCTAGCAGGACTCTTACTTTCTTAACACAGTAAGTAAGTAAGTAGTTGCTAGCCTCTTATTGTGCTTAGTTTTGTTTTCACGCAGGCTGTAGGCTAGCTGGCTGTTACTCCTCTGGGAAAGCAGACATTCCTTCAGCAGGGAGGACTCTTTCTGCCCACACTGTCAAACACATGCTGCTCTTGTTGTGTCCTCTTTGTGTCCTCCAGCTCCTTTATAATCCCCATTCCTGCAATAGGATGAGTCATGTTAGCTTTCTTGCTCTCTGTGGTCATTTTAATGCTCAGTAGGCATCCAGGAGACAGGAGATTTATACATCTATTAAATAAGCTTCCAAGGAGGAAAAATATAAAACTCACTGCAAAATGCTACATTATTTTATCATTTCTCATAATTATTGTGTAATTCATGATACTCTGTCACAAGCCTATCAAGGCCAATTCTTCTCGCTCTCAGTGTTTCCATCAACATAGTTTACATACCAATTTAACTTAAATACAAAACATGGTCACATTGCATTCAGTTCAGTTAGAATACAAGATAGATAGATGACTATACAGTACATATAATGCAAATATTACGCTGCCTGTCTAACTGTGTATTTGAAATTAGTAGGACTGATTCATTCCTTGGGGTGGGGATGTTTAGGACTGGGCTGTAACATTCATCAGTTCCCAGACATAATTGCAAGATCTTTCAAGACCACCTGTGTTTGTTGATAAAATTTCAGCAAAAGGCAAACATGGTAGATGTCTTAAGAGATTACCGTAACTCATTCTTTCCGACTTATCTGCAAGTGAGGTCAATGCCGTTCCAGAGCATTTCCCTTCAGGTTTACCCAGATTGTTCTTTGGAGTGGAGAGACTAGGTTTCTTGAGTGCACTTTCTTTAGAGGATCTCTCTGAAATCTACTGAATCTAAGATACTGACAAAAATGCAAGACCTAGCTGTATCCTGTGTTCGAGGTGTGGGCCGCATACAGACCATATACTGTATTTAAAGCATATTTTCCCCCAAAGCATCATGGGAACTGTAGTTTATCCCTCACAACACCCTTAAACCACAGTTCCCAGGATGCTTTGGAGAAACTAATGTGTTAAAGCATGTATTGTTTGCATGCGGCTTTAGTTGCAAGAAGAAGAATCAAGCTCAAAACACTGCATGTTACCAACCCTTGGAAGTCTCACTCAGCCTTAAATTGGTGGCTTGAACTTCCTTGGCAAACATACTTTGCACATCAGAGATAATTTCCTTTGCTGTTATACTCTGCCACATTGCACTGAAGACAATACCAACAATTATGGTAGGATTACTACAATGTAGTCTTCATTCATCTGAGTTTCTCAAGTTTCCTGTCATCTCAAACTCTGTCCTGTTACTGCTGGACCACATTCCTAGGTTCTACCTAAGCATCAAATTTTTGTCTTTTTAAAGAGTTGACTGGCCCATGGCATCCCAGGGCTCTACCTCATGACACCACTAAATGCTATCCCATGCGTTAGGTAGAATGGCTACTTATCCATAAAAACTGAAAAAAAAGACAAAAGACTGCCCAGATTTACATGTGCTGGTTTACATGTATAATTGCAAATTTAGAAATAATTACTAAAATAAATACATCTCACCATAGGAAGGAAGACTGGCCATCTGTCATGGATGCTTTGGCTGAGATGGCTGCATTGCAGGGGGTTGGACTAGATGACTCGTGGGTCCCTTCCAACTCTATAATTCTATTATTCTACCAATCAGAAGATCTGTATGTCTGCTTAGTGTGCTGTCTATGTGTTGTTAATGGGCAGTTTCAAGGCCCCTGTTGTCCAGGATTTTCTTTGCAGTGGACTTGGACTAAACAGCCCTTCAAACTGAGGACTGTTCTCTGTGAAGTTGGAACACATGGCTACCTAAACCTCGGGCTTTAGAATGGCAGAGACCTGTCAGACCTTAACATTGCATTGTGGACATGAGAACTTCACTGCAGTTACTGTAGTCACAGATCCAACCAGCGGCCCCTCCAGATCTACAGAGTGTTTCTAATAGTGCTAAGATTCAGAAGAAGTAGAGAGAAACATGCCCATTTCAGTGAATGAGGGGTTCAGGAGGTTGCCTGTATTGCATGTGTTGGCTAGGTCATTCCTCCAGGAATGTCTCTTCTTTGAACTCAGTTATAAGCACTTGGCAGCTGAGGCATTGGGATTGCAGCTGTTCCCTAGGGCAGAGAGCTTCAGAAGGAGCAAGGACACTGTGCAGAGAAATGTTCCATCAATAAACAAGACTCTGCCAGGAAGTCATGCTAGAACAACACAAGAACAATTTATCTAGAAAGAAGACTGAACATTCAGAGACACACTCACAGGCCTATCTCCTCAGCCCCTTAGCTGGCCATAGTTGCTCTCTCTCACCA